TTTTATAATCAAAATATATAAAATTTTAATCCAGACCAATTAATGTTTTATAAATGTTTCTATTTATGTATGCATTTTATGTGCGTTCTCAGCAAACAGGGGCAGAGAGTAAATGTTTGAAAGCATTTGAGGTCTGTCTTCCCTTGCTTTGTTCCTATTTACCTGTACTCCAGCTTCAGCAAAGGCTTTCTCCTCTGCAGGTGTCCAGATGCTTGGGTTTTCTCTGATCTCTTTGTGATTTACCCTATATGTTGGATTCCCATTAAAGTTGATGACATACTGATAGATATATTACATACATACTTTAATCTCCACATATTCATTGTAGAAAACAAAACAAAACAAACCCAAAACAAAAAAAACTTGAGGAGGAAGTCTCCCCTCCCTTTAGGACAGGGGGAAGTACTGTAACCACCAGCAATCAGATGATTGATAGCTAGAAATTTTAGGAAAACACAGGCTACCCCACATAAGGATTTACATCGATGGGAATTTGGCTTGCCGGATGGTTTCAGGACTGTGCACAATGCACACAGCGCTGTACTGCGGTACGACAATAATCCTTACGGGGAGGATGAAGGACACATTCTTGCAGCTGAGCGTTTGCAGCTCAAAGTCACCGGGAGCTGAGGGCACGCTGTGCATTACTGGAAGCGTGTGTTCTGTCTTTTTCTGCTTATTTATTTGATTTTTGCTGGGTGTAGCCATCACTGTTTATTATGTTAGTTTCCAGTTCCAATGTTGGAATGGCAAAAGAAGCTAGTTGTTAGTGTAGCTTTTTTTTTTCTTTTTTTTTAATTACTGCTGAGGTCTGTTGTTCTGATGTGAAAAATACAAAAACTTTTCAGTGTATTGATCCTAAAATATTCATTAAAAAGTAGGTTGGTAGTGATCCTAAAATATTCATTAAAAAGTAGGTTGGTAGGTTGTAGAGGAAGGAGAGTTGATATAAAAAGAGAACGTGCAGAGGAAATGAAAATCAAATAAAAGTTCTCAGTCACTCTGAGTGTTACAGATACATTCAGTTTTTTACATTAATGTCAGCCGTCATTTTCACAGTGTGTGAAACCAAAAAGTCAAACTGGGAATTTACTTTGCTGTATATATTTTCATAGGAAGCTGATTAAATGTGCTCATAAACTGAAGCATTTTTGTATAATGCTGTATCAATTATATCTGAATAAATTACGTTTAAGTGACAAATGGGTTATTGTATGCAACAATTATTACTTGCAAAAGGGTGTAAATCTCTCACATAACTTTAATGAAGAAATTGAAGTGACTCATTCTGTAGTCAGATCAGCTAGTGCTTTGAGTCCTTCGGCTCTGGTTTCTTAGTGCTAGTTTGCGTGTCCGGTTCCAATAGGATACTCCTGTGCAGAGCTTTTTCTTTTGTTTCTTCTGTAGCTTTTTCAGACCCTGCTATCTTTTCTCCTTCGTCCAAGGAGTTTCTTATTTTTATTTGTGCATCATTAATATATTCTGTCTCGTAGTTCAAGTATTGAGCTTATAAGATCTTAATCTACTGTTTCTTCTATGTGCCCAAATGCTGAAAAAAAATAGGGAAAAATTGTGGTTTATGCTACAGACTTGTGCCTGAAGTTCCCCACAGCATTCTATAAAGAAAATTAAGTACCTCTTATATATTTTTCTCTTCTCGCATAGTTTAAATCATTTCATGAGAGCTATTCACTGAAATACCAATTGACCTATTTTATTCTAATAAACTTTTTGTCTTGATTATTTTATTAAGGTTTGAACAAGCTTTTATCAACAGCATGATCCGTAGCATGGTAAAATCTGAGAGAACATATTTTTGGATAGGATTGCAAGACCTTAACAACACAGGAGAATACTTTTGGCTAAGTACAGCGGGAAAGAATCGCTCTGTGAGCTACACAAACTGGAACAAGCACCAGCCCCGTGAGTAACATGCCGATAAAAAAAGAAATGGCTTGGAGGTGGGCAGTGCGCTCTCTTCCCCCTGCCACCGGTGGCTTAGCAGTGACTGAAGAGTCCCGGTCCTTTCCTCCCTGCCTGGTCAAGAGAGCAGAGAGATAAGCCTACATTTTCTATCGACTCTGTAACTTCCTACCATGGATTGAGTTAGATGAGTTGGCAGTTGTGGAGAAGCCGGAGCTTCCTTCCCCGCTTTCCACCTGGGTGCTGTTATCGTCGGCTCCCCAGCTGTGGCAGGATGCTGGATGTCGCTCTTCCCACCCTCCGGTGTGGCGAGGCCAAAATTAATAGCCACACCACACACTCCTTGCAGACACAGCTAATCCCTGAAATTTTTCTTTTTCTGTGAGATGTTTTTCATACATTCCTTTATGGCCTTTTCAAGGAGGCCATCAGAGACTCGCAGCAAAAGGTCCCAGAGAAGTCATGAATTTTATTCAGTAACAGTCACAGTTTGTAATTTGCATTTTATAGGAAAAAAAGAGGGCAGAGTTGCCTTAGATACATTTCTGTCAATAAGAGCGCTGTGTGGAAGTTTCTTCTTCTTCTTCCCCTTTAGTTTGTTGGTATTTGGTTTGCTTGTTTGTTTTATAGTAATCTAAAGGAAAACATTCCCAGAAAATGAAAAATGAAAAAATGAAATAGTTGTTCAACCTTTGAAACATAAACCTCTTAGCAATACCTGAGAATAGAGACATAATAACACAGACGCTCCATTTAACTAATTGCTTCTCAGTTTCGGACTCTTTACATTTTTTGCTTTACTACTGCAGTTTGCAAAAGTACTATTTTAAATTGCACTTCATCTCCTGCATGTTGTTAGAGGAGCCCTTCATTATGGTTCATTTTACAAGCTCAAGTCAGCCAAGACAGGCTTATAAACTGGTCACTGACCAGACAATTTGCTACTTTTGTAAGTTCACTGAGGTTTTATCCAGAACCTGATGCCAATAAAACAGTCACTTCAGCAAAAATTCACAAAATTCAAATGCTTTATTCTGATACTCAACACTTATCCCCATGTCTAGGTCATTCTGGAGGATGTGTGGCTATGCGAGGGCAGCACCCCATTGGTTATTGGGAGGTGAAAAGCTGTAAGAACTTCAAAGCAATGTCATTGTGCAAGCAAAAAATCAATTCTTATGAAGAACCTGAACTTACTTTTCAAAAACATTTGAGTTCCTGCTATTTTGGATGGGAGTCAGAAGCTAATCTGCTCAACTGCTACAAGGTATGTGACAAGCTTGCTTTGAATTTTTCTGATTCTGCATCAGCTTAGGGCTACACTGTTCCCAAAATATTTTTGATAAAGCATTATTTCTTTCACTCAACAAACAAAAATTGTTACCATCCTTCACTGCATTTTAAAGTGAGTGAAAAGTCTTAAGAATCAGAACTATACTTGGAATATACATGGCTTTACTGTAGGAAAACCTGCAAATAATACTTGATTTTTTTATGGGTTTCTGAAACAACTGGTCTCCAAAATCAATTACATTTATGACAGTGTTTATTTTATTGCAGATATTTCACAATGAAAAGGTTCTGATGAGAAGAACATGGGATGAAGCAGAAGCGTTATGCCGAGATTTTGGAGCACATCTTGCTAGTTTTAGCCATATCTATGAAGAGACATTTTTAAACAATTTATTATATACAATTTTTGATAGGTAAATACATTTTTTTAACACCAACAAGATTTATCTTAATCAGACTAATATGTAAAAATAATCTACAATTTAGGTTCTTCCATCCTCTTTACTAGTGGCTGAAGACGTCTCTACTCTAACATGAACTTAGAAATGGGTGAAAAGAAGTGTATTAGCAACACTGTAATGTGATTCTTTTCAAAGGTGATCTTTGTAGTAGATGTCGAGCAACTGTTAATGTCAAGGTCAAATTCTTGTGAGTTAACATTCTCCATTGAAATGGAGGTTCAGCAATTTTAATCCGATTTTAAATGTTTTTATCTTTAAAAATATAATTTAACATTTTACTAAGAAAACCAGAGTTTACTTCAAGGACACGAAAAAGTTAAGAAATGTATTACAGAATGATATATTGAATTCAGGAAGAAATGAATATGGGTATTTGCACTATTTAAAAAATAATTTCTGAAATAGCTAAGGAAAAAGTGCACGAGAAATGTTATTTTCTTTGTTTCCATCATAGGACAGAAGACAGACAGTTCTGGATTGGATTTAATAAAAGAAACTCGCTTTCTGGAGGGACATGGCAGTGGTCTGACAGAACACCTGTAACTATCTGCATACTATATATTTCAGTAACCTTTCAAGTCATATCTGAGCATAAGTTCACAAAAATAAGCTTTGTGAGCAAATGTTGGTCAGGGAAACTGTTTGGTTTTCGTGTCCGCATACTTCACGTAAAGTAATTGTTACAATAGGGTTAATAGTACACTACTATTAAAATAGCAGCCTGCGCAAAGGGCTGTGCAACTGCGAAAGGAATTTGGTAGGATTATAAAGTTTTGCAGATGTGTGCTTTCCTGCAAAGCACATTGCGTTTAGGCCAGGACCAGGCATATGCAGAATGAACACACGTGTGTGTGTGTGTGTGTATGTGTGTGTGTATATATATATACACACATAATTACACATGTACACATGCACACACATTGGAAAGCCTTAGAGCTGTGCTTACATGCTTTATTTGTTCTATGACTGTTAGGTTCATGCCTGCATTCAGAGCTAAGTCTTTCCTTTTTTGATACCACTTCTGATTTTGCATCCTTGAAGACATTGGTGCCACATGCCCCACTAATGGTTAATACCTGGGATTTAAACATCGAACAACTGAAGAAGGGTCAGTTTTTAAACTGTAATTGGTTTTCAGCCTTGAAGAACAGTGCCAGCTCTGCCATTGTTACTTAAGTCATTTCAGAATGAGAGTGCAAAGTTCAATCATGCAACATGTTGAACCAAAGCAAAGGCTGTTAGATGGGGCAACTACTGTTAATCATGTCAAAAAATTATTAGGTTTCATAGCTATTCAATTATTTTTACGAAGAAGGAGTCTGATATAAGATGCGGAAGTTGAACAGGACATTGAGAGAACATGATTATGGACCCTATTTTTCGGATTTTACCACCATAATTTAGGTGGTCCTCTAGTTGTTGCTTATGATGGTCTTACCATACACACATCTCCAAATCCTTCCTTTTTCTCCATAATGAGATTTTGAAATGTGTCATCTTGGATTGTCGGTGAAAGATAATGAATGTGCTGTTTTCAGGTTGTATCTTCATTTTTGGAGAGCAAGTATATTGAAGACGACTCAAGAAACTGCGGTGTGTTCAAAGTAAATAGAACAGTCTTTCCAGCACACTGCAATGAAAAGCGTGAATGGATATGCAAAATACCAAAAGGTGAAATGTTAATTAACATATATTGTCTATTATACCCATTACTTGCAATTCAGGAGAGACAAGGGGAAAAAAAAATCTAAAAGCCTGCTTTTTAGCCACATCTGGAGTTCTCCTCATTGGTCTTCTGCATGAAATCATGGCAAAGCTATATGTGGCCGTTAGGGTGTGTTGGCCAGTTAACAGATTTAATATGTGCAGTCAGTTTAAAATTGGATAGTAATGATGAGCAGTTAGTTAGCAGGAGTTAATCGAAGTTCTTATTTCTAAAGGTTACTAAAGATGTTGTTTAGTAAGTGTGGCAATTATTTTATTTTATTCCATGTTCAACTCCTTTTTTTGTCCCTGAACGAGAATAGCAATATTCTTTATGATTTTGATTAAATCCTTACCATGTGGAGAAAGCAATTTCAGTGAAATATCTCTTTTCATTCTTAATCAGCAATGTTTTAATTTATTTATGTATTTTTGCAGGTGTTAAACCAAAGAATCCAAATTGGTACATAGCTGGTATGAAAACATTTTCTTTTTTCACATCTTGAAACATTATAACTTGGAAATACAATTTAAGCCATTGGTAAAAATAAAATAACTGAAGTGTTCTGAGTTAAAAATTCACATTAAGGAACTCAGTTAGAACTTGTTGCTACCGATCAAAATCTGCCACTCCTTTGTTTAGGAACACTGAAACATCAGATACTATTTCGGTTAGGTACAGGAATGTTGCCAGTAATAAGCACAAGAGTTTGATAACCTCTCCATCACATTAAAACTGCCTTTTTGCAAAGGCTGGGCAACTCTCCTAATATTACTGCAGTATCACAGGATAGAATATTAAAAAAAAAAATTACTCGTAGTGCATTTTTTTTTTTTCATAAATTGATATGTTAAATACGGTTCTGCTGTTAGTTGTGGCATATTTGTCCTCTGACACATGGCTGAAGGCGGGCCACGGGGGTCACAAAGAATGAGGCTTGAAATTTTTAGGAGTTTTTACCCCTGCACACCACTGACTCTTTTGCTCATTTTCTAGAACTGCCGTGGTCATATTATCAAGGAGCAGAGTATCTTTTCCATGTCAGTCCTACGGACTGGGAAACCTATGAGTTTGTCTGTGGCTGGCTTCGCAGTGGAATGGCAACAATAAATTCTTCTGGTGAACAAGCCTTTATTCAAAATAGAATTAAGAAGGTAACAAAAACTATCCCTTTGAAAAAATAAACCCTCAGGCAGTAACTGGCTATTTTCTGCTGCATCTTTCAGAATATCTGGCTGCCTGTTGTGCCAGGTAGAATCCGAAAGACATTTTACTTAAAAAATATTTCTCTTGCTGTCTTCATTTCCCACATCCCTCCCTGAAGCCCTATTTAGCTAAAGAAGTCAGTAACATTTCAGAATCTGCAGAATCATCTCTGCTAATGAGCAGGTCGGTCAGTCTGCCTCAAAAGACCCAAAAGGAGCGAAAACCAGCTTCCTATCCCAAAGTTATGAAAGTAATTAGGGGTAAAGAGAAAGGTTTGTTTCACATGTGCTGTACATCCTTCTCTGTTTCTTCTTCTTCCCCCATCCCCCCATGACCAAGGGGACCCGTCGTGGTTCCTCAGGTGTTCACACAGCAGTTCTACACCCACCGGGATGTCTCCTGATCCCGCACAGTTTCGTAGTTACGCTCTGTTCCCGTGCAGTAACTTGCAGCTGGTTTTCAGGTAGCAATACCGAGGGGCATTTCAGTGGGTATATTAGCATGAGGTGGGCAGTAAGTCCAGATGTTTGAAACAGTCTTCATAGTTTAAATCCTCAACATAATGATTTGAAAGGTTACTCTTGGGGAGAGCTGGCCAAAAATGAAGAATTACCAATTTCCCTGCACCTTAATTAAATTTAGAGCTCTAAACCATAGAGGTGGGTGCTTATGACCTTGCAAAATAGATTACCTTTTCCTCTGTGTTCGCCAGCTTGGGCAAGATTTGCATGTGTCCACACATTTGTATGATGTCTCCTGAATTAAAACCCTTTGTGACTATGGATATTTATATGGGAAAAAAAGACATCTGCCTCTAAATTCCTCCTCTGGATGAAGGCAGAATTTTTGTAGAATCACTCTGATGTAAGAAACAGATTTGAAGCTGAGAAATAGCTGCAGCAGCAGATGAATTCCCAAGAAACAAAGTCTGTTTTCTTTCAAGTGTTCTCAGTAAAAGTGAAATAAGGAAAATACAAAAAAAAAAAAGAATAAAAATAATCTGTCTGCCTTACTGAGGGCAAAATTCTATGGCTGTAATGTAAAGGGGTATCATAGTGTAATTTTTGAAAGAACAACTAGTGCTGGGTAGAAAAGCTCTCGACTGACTCTAGCTTAGTTTTGCTTGCATTGTGTACAGTCTTCTCTGCTTTTAACTTATAATAGAAAGCATAAGTAGAGTTGCGTTGTATTAAGATGGGGTTTTAAAGTTTTCAAGGGATTATTCATCATTTTTATCTGCTATTTAAGTAGTTTTGTGTCAAAATATAATGAACTGGATTTAAACTAACAGTTCATGGCAGAAATAGCTTATAATGAAAGAGCAACATAACCAACAAGGCTGTCGTCTTCCACATCTACCAGAGGTTGTGTTGTGATGTAATTACTACCTTACCTAAAACTGAATGTTTATGACTTAAAAAATGACATAACTTTAAAAAAAGATGTATTTTTCCAACTTAAGAGCACTTAAAATGGCTAATCCAATGCTGCTTTAAAGTCACATTTGCTTACAAGAGATCTTTTAAAAGCAGTTTTATCATTAAAATTAGTAGGTATTAGAGCAGTTTGTGAGCATTCCGTGATGAAAAAGCCAAGTCTACTCCCTTGGCATTGGAAATCAGGTTAACTTCCTTGAAGTTTCGTCTCAGAATATAACATATGCAGCTATTTTAAAGCCAGTATAGCCAGGTGTGTCCCTAAGTGATTGTAACCAGTTTCCTGTGGAAGCGGGAGTAAGAGTGGCAATCACTAAAACAATACTCAGCAGTCTAAATAGACTTTGCATGTGTCATTAGAAAACTTGGTCAAAATTTCTTAGCATGGAATTTGAAATCATGTTTTTCGCTATTTCTTTAAAAATGTGCAGGCTGAGTGCTGTGATTAGAAAACTAAACTCACACACCAGGCAATACCGAATCAGACAGCATTCCTGAGTCTTTCCTTTGTGAAAAATGTCTTACTTCCTTCATTTGATACTGCTATGTAAGCTGGTGAAATCCTAACTATAAGTCCAAGGACAGTGTGGCTGCCATAACACAGGCTGCACTTCAGTTCTTTCTGGAAAAAAATAAATGCTTCTCAGAGACAGGGTGGCTTTTCCAGTGTCCTGCACATCCACAGCTTTTTTTGTTGTTGTTGGCTCTTTCGCAAAGACCCCAAAGCTGTGACTATTGACTGGCTAACCCTGAAAGTGAAGCAGTTCAAAGTTTAAGGGAGAATTAAGTCAGCACAGCAATAAGAAGCGGCTGTTTGAATTACATTATTTCCGTGACTTCTCCATAATGCTTTGCCTTTTAGGAGTGGAGGTCTAGACCCTTTCATAAGAACATCAATCAGTATGGAAAGCATCTCTAGGAATCTCTTGTATAACCTACACGAAGTCAGTAAATGTTCATAGAAAACCTTTTGCAAACATTAAGGACCAGCGGTATTATATTAATGCTAAAAGGAAATATTTGCTATTGTCTGTTTTTAGGAGTTGGGAGGAAAACAAATTCTGGCCTAAGACTACAGTCCTTTTCAAGCCAAATAGGCTGTAAATTCCTAAAATTGTAAACTCCTAATTTACAGAAGATACATCAGCAATCCAGTGGAAACTGGGGGCTAAATTATGCTCTACTTACGTGAATAATCTTACTGAAGTGACATAAATTTACATGGGCAGGATTTAGCCCGTGTTCTTCTCATTGGAACCCAATGGAGATGTTATTCATCCGAATACAAACAGAGCCTGATTTTAGGGGTTTGTTAATGCTTTAGTAAGAGGGCAACAACAGTTAAACATACGGCATAACTTTTTTTTTTTTATAGCTATCGAATAGTGATGTTCACTGGTGGATTGGATTGCATGCAGAAAACCTTGGCGATGAATTTCGGTAAGAATACGTAGACTTCAGCTGCTCTGTTTACAGGCTGCCATTCAGTCTGATGGACTAAAACAGTTTGATGACTGAGTGGGATATCGAAGAGACAGCTTCAGTTCTCATGTAAATATCACTCAGAATATATTACCCTTAATTTGTCTCTGTGTTATGGTATTTCTTCTAAAAGGGGTATAAAAGATACACGCCAAAGACATGAATATCAACCTTGTGGTTGTCTGTTTTTTTAAAGCTTAGTTAATAAAGGGGCACTTTCTACCCTGTATCTGCTTGCAAACACTTTTAATGGAGGTTGTGTTTTCAGGTAAGGATAGGAAAAAGTGTAACTACACTCTTAACATTTCTGTGCAGCTGGAGAGATGAATCACCACTAACATACCAGAACTGGAATGAAGGGAGGGAGAGAGATCCGCAGAAACCAGGGAAAAGATGTGGCTTCATTTCATCACAAACAGGTTTATTTTATATTTCCTTTTTTGCAGGAGTTGTGACTTGATTCTGTTGTTGGCCAAAGGGGTAATATTATAATTGCTTTCAAGAAATGCAATCTATATTACATGGTCTTGTCACATGGTTGTAATTTGCATAACTGCTTTTATGGTTAAGAAAAGAAAATTAAAATACCATGAATATGCTCAGAGACTAGATTATAGGATTTGATAGTTCCAGTACTTTAGTGTCAAAATATAAACATTGCAGTGATACTGAATCTTTAGTTTTACTTAAGAATCTGTTATGTGGCACAGCAAAAATGTTAATGCATTGCTGGTTTTCACAGTCAGTTTTCTCATAACCAAATAAGCCAGATGGACAAGCAATAATTTTTCCTACGTTTATAAACTGTTTTCCTATCAGCACACAAGTTTAAATACTCAGGTTTCTAGCTTATTTTTGATCCCATAGCCAATCTGCTGAGGGATTTTTGGGTACCATGGTTTTGGTACTAGCCTTTACAACATCACATAGCTATATATTTTGCTACAGTAATAAAAACAATCACAGTGCTGCTGATTCCACTGATTTCTGTCATCTCACAGTCTCTGTTTTCTGAAGATCTGCAAGTCATAGTAAACCGTGAGGTTCCATAGAAAGAAGAAATACCCAGCTTTGTATTTGTGAGAAGGGCTGAAAAAAATTAATCCAGTTGCACTCTTGTAATCTCAGCCTCAAAAGCCAAAACTGAAAAAATGTGAAACCTTCTTTTTTAAAACACGAAATCTCGGAGTTTTGATTCATGACTTTCGAGTGCTTGAGTTTGGCGTTACTACAGTTAGTATCGGATAAAAGGAAGAGATGCCCACCCTCCCCCCTCAGCTGGCCAGCAGATGGGAGCTGGTCAACAGCTTGTTGAATGCACTGTGTTCTAATGAAAAATGTATTTTCCTCCTAAGCAGGTCAGCGTTTTGTGTCAGTACCTGCATCTTGCCAAAAATTTTCAATGTAAGGAAGTCAAACTATTTTATCTGGAAGGCATCATTTCTATACCTTTCCTTTTTTTTGGCATAACTAATATTTTTTTAAATACATGATGATATAGGCATATGTTATATGACTCAGTGTAGAGGAATTGGTTTAGCTTAATAAAATCAAACTGGGAATAAAAGTATGGGCCCCATGGACCATCAAAACCACTGTAATGCAATATGTCCAAATGTATTTGATGTAGAATCTCGTCTTAGTCAACCACTAATGGGTACCCTTCTTAACAATATCTAAGCTAGCTAAGAAAAAAACCTTTTCCAATTCTCAAGCCAATACTGAACTGTGATTTGTCTTTTTACACAGGACTCTGGGGTGATGAAAACTGTACTGTCTCTCTTCCCTGTATTTGTAAACGTAAATTTGCATGGAAAATAGAGAAAGAGATTCCAAAAGACCCGAACCAACAAGGAACATGTCCCAAAGGATGGTTGCACTTTGGATTCAAAGTAAAACATTTTTTTCTGCTGTTTGAGTATTCAAAATGCCTTCCATATTTATGACAGAAATCGGACTTCTTAAGGATTATTCAATATTTGAAGATTTTCTTCCTTTTTGAAAGCAGGGCCCTTGGGTTTATAACTACGGACAGTGATACAAAGGTTTACAGCTATTAAGTAACTTTGCACACAGAAGTTGTCTTAATAAGGTGTCAAAAATTTTACTTTAGTTGAAGGAAATGAATACTCATATATGCAAAAGCTATCTAAGTGCTTTTGCTGTAAAAAGCCTGTTCCATCCTCTCTTTTCCACTTATGACAATTCCAAGAGTCTTTTATGGTCTCAAAACAGATCTCTGACCCCTTGTTGTACTAAATGGTCCCTAACTGCTGTCATTCTCCAAAACCCTTCAAATAGGGTTTGTCAAAGATAATTATAAACCAAAGTCTGTTTGCAATTGAAGGTCAAAAGGCAATTATTTCATCAGGCTTCTCTTAAATACATATGTTCCAAAATAGCAACATGCATTGAGGTGGCTGGATTTAGCCCAGTGCTGAACTGCAGTGGCTACAAGAATAAATTTAACCCAGATTGTGTTTGCCTTTAAACAACTGATTGGAATCCAAGCCTGATTGCAGCTGAAAACTGATACCAAGCATGTTGGAGAGGTCCATTGCAGGACCGAAACAAATGAAATACTTAGTTTTCAGTAACAGCGTGTGAAATGTTTTAGTGATCGCTCTTAGTGATTGATAGCTTTTAAACTGGAGAAAAAACAAAACAAGCCTTTTTTTGTTTGTTTTTTTTAAACAGTGCTTTTTGATACAAATTCCAAAGGATCCAGAGCATCTGAGAAACTGGTACTCTGCACAAGAGTTCTGCAGTAGCTATGATGGGTCACTCGCTTCCCTCGAAGATGAACTGGAACAAGGTAGAACACTGAAAATACTGTTAAATAAATAGAATTTTATTTTCATTAGGATGCTATAGTAAAGTTTCATCTTGGATACAGATTTAGGAAAAAAGATCGCTCAGATCCTACTCATGGTTCCACTGCTTTCAACAAATTAGTGTTTCTCTTTCCCAATTTCCCAAAATGTAAAGATTCAAATATCCACTGAGCTATATGACAGGTGCGTTTTGAAGAGTAATTATAATTTCTTTTGTGCTTACTACCATGCATTAGAAATACAAAAAAAAATGGAATACCCATTTAAAAATTTGCCGTGTAAAATTTCTCTGTTATGAATGCAGCATCACACTGTTATAAAAGCAATCTCATTTTCGTCCTTTAATAGTACTTAAAAACTGATCTATCACAAAAATCTGTGGTAGAATTTCATACATTTGTAAAACCACTTATTTGGAGGTGGGAGGAATCTCACTGGCTATCTTTAATTGAGAAATCTTACTTTCAGCTAAAACTGAGAAAAGCTTTTTCAGTGCGACAGTACTCTGAACTAATACTTAAGTTGTTCAAGCTGCTGTGAACATTTCTGGAACACTTATTAGTTAATGGACTAGATCCTAACCCAACTGAAGTTAATCAACTTAGCTGAATTTATGGTTAGATGACACTGAACTGCCGCTCATGTTCTTACTTTCTAGTAACTATGTAATGTCATTGATGAGTAATTAAATTTGTCAGTGCTTTAGTGTATTGGAAGAGACTTCATCTATCCCTAAATGGTTACCAATTAATTATATTTTATTCCTGTTTCATTTTTCAGCTTTCATAACAATGAATCTATTTGGACGGAAAACTAGTGTTTGGATAGGTTTCCAGAGTGACGATTATGAAAAATGGGTGAATGAAAAACCTCCGATGTATTCTAACTGGTCTCCAGTTGAAGTAGTGGATGTGAGTATTTCCAGGGGGGTTTAAGGACAGTGAGAAGTTGTTTCATCCATAAAAATCATGACTGCCACAAAGACAAGGCCTAACTTGTTACAGCAACTTAGTCTTCTCTTAATTTTTGCAACTTCAGACAACTGTGGGCACAGATCTATAGGCATAACTAGGGGTAGCAAAAAAGGCACTATCAAGACAGTTATTTATGTAATTTGTGGCTATAGTGACATTCTCTTGCAATTGCTTTTAAGCACCGAAGTTTTAATTCTATGGTTAGTATCATATGCTGGGTCTGAGCAAAGTTTAGGAATAAGATTATGGATGTCATATTTTAATACATTGTTTTACACAACATTAGTCCATATTGGGCTTAGCATTTTAGTTTGTTTAGTGAAAGCTAGTGACTTTTTTATTCTGAGGTTATTGTTTCAAATTGTATGTATGGGAGTGTTCATTGTTCTACCTAAATATTTATAACAGTGACTCACAGATAATTATTCTTCTAAATTTAATGTAATAATTATGCATTGTTTTTACACAGTGTCTTTTCTAATTAATATAAGGTTCTGTGTTGATTGCAGAGACAGCGTTATAACAGTGCAAACATTCAAGAACAACTTCCACTATGTACATTGGTATCAAATAATCCTAATTTTTATTTTACGGGAAAATGGTACTTAGAAAGCTGTCAGAAGAATTATGGGTTTGTGTGCCAAAAGACTCAGGGTAAGGTTTTGTTTTGCTTTGCTTCTGTTCTCTTTTCTTACTATATTGAATTCATCTTACGTTATTTTTATCTAGAAGCAGCTTGTTATAGGTGTCTATAAAACCAGGAACATGAAAGATTTCTAAGATGGTTCTACTCTGATATTTAGACAGACTAGCTCTACACTATTTAATAAATCAGTAGCTGTGATGTAGAAATAATTTCTAAAAAAATGTTTTGTTATTAAATTTTCTTCCTAACTGAGCTTTCTGTTGCGTATCTTAGATTCAGGAATAGAGATGAAATTTCATGTTCTCTGTTGTGGCAAGCAGAGTAGCAGCATGAAATTACAAAAGGCAAAACTGAGGGTAATTTTGATGAAAATATGATTTTTTTTGTTTGTTTGTTTTTGTTTTTTTGTTTTTCTTAGGGGGTGGGTCTTGCAAAATGAGATCAGAATAGACTCTAGAAAATGCATTTCTGTGAGCAGTGCGGAACGAATGGCCGATCAAAGAGTTTGGCTTTTCTTTTCACGCTTCTCTAATTCTGTTACCATAATGTTCACCTGCCAGAAGCACAAAGCTTTTGCAGAGAACATGCGTTGTTTGGTTTCCTCAAGCCACATTCCGGCGTTGCCTCTCGGACTGGGAGCCGCTGGCATCCCCGGGGCGCCCGGGCAGCTTTGGAGCCCCGTCCCAGGGGCTGCTGCAGCTCTGCCAGTGGGAAGCTGCCAGAGCATGTTACCAAAATAGACCAGCAGCAAATTATTAACCCTAAGGCAAAAGGAGGGCTGTAATCTGAGCCTGTAAGGAGCGTCCTTGGGTGCTGTACTTACTGCGGGTGTGGTTTTGTATGGCTTAACTTTATATATCACCTCTTAGTTAAGCCTGGGTCTAAAGAGACAATCCTCTCCTGCTGGCTCCCTAGGAGACGAGGGAGGGTGAGTCGAGAGGTAGAATATACAAATACAACCTTTGGGCAGTGCTCACATGTGGCTCTAGCAAACCACAGCTGTATTTGACATAATTTATTATGAACTACAGTTGCGATGGGTGCTGGAGTAATCCTGCACGCAGTGCAGAAAAAATAAATAAATACATTTTCCTGCTGTTTTGTTTCATTTACCTCCTAACATTTGTATTTTAACCTCTTGCTGATGCTTCAGACAGATGGAAAAGGTTTTAAAAGGCAGGTAGGAAAACTGTTGCCTTAGGGCGGCCAGGCTGCAGGGTGTGCGGGGGGGATTGGGGCTGCACTGACTGCTCAGGACCCTCCCCACCTTTCACGTGAGTGAACGTGAGCATGGCCCATGGGCCCTGGCCAAAGCATGGAGGGGGTGGAAGGGACACGCTGAGCCCCATGTGCAGCAGAGTGCTCCTGGGGGTGAAGGGACCAGTCCTGCCTCCCCCGTGTGACACCCATGGCGCTCTCCCAAACCATCAGGCAGTTCAGCTTGCTAATTCAGCAGAAAACTTTCCTGTCTCTTTTCCCCGCCCCCCCAAATTGATGTCATTTTGTGCAGCTTTTCCAGGCTGCATCGGCTCAGTGCAGGGTCAGGCAAACACCAGACCTATGCGTGGGAATATGCAGCTGGAAGAGCAGAGAAGCAAGGAAGGGAGAAGTGAGACAGCCTCTTGCTGGCAATGGTGAACTGCTAAATTTCCTCAAATGTCCAAACAAACGTGTCAATTCCTGGAAAGATGAGCTGGTGCTTTGCTTCTGCCATCCTGTCTGTATCCCGTCTCCCCTTTTTTGAATTTTTTTCTGTAGGAGACTAAAATGAAATAAACCAGCAGGAGATCTGAACTGGGCTCTGATCTCTTAGTGATGCTTGAGTTAGGATTGTGTCAGCATTTCACTGTGTTTCCTGCCTTTTCTTTTTTTAAGCAGTGACATGCACTGAAAGCTGGAACAAAATAGAGTGCTTCAGTTAGCTCAAGAGCAAAACCTCTTGCTTAGAAAGTTCTAATTTTAAATGATTTGTGGATGACAAATAATACATTGATTTACTATTTTAAGATGCTTGTTAACACTCCTCTCTTAGTCATAAAGGGAACCAAGTCTAAAAACACTCCACCTTGTAGCAAAGCAACCACTTCATTTTGTAATCACAGAGAAGTTTTAGAGACAGAAGTAATTAATCCAAACTGACAAACGGGATTAAAACTGAGGCATTGCTTTATTTTAATAGTCTTGTTTAAAGTATACTGCGGGCATTCATACACATTAGCAAAGGTATTTGCCTCCTGTAGAAAAGCGAGCATGGCAGCATCAAAGACTGGGCTGGGGTGATGGTCTCTGTCTCCTGGTTTTTTTCTCATGGGAGACTCTCTTTATTTCTTAAATCTAAGAAGGCTGCTTCTTCCTTTCACTTTTTCGGGCATTGCTGCGTTAGTTTATCATCAGAAAGATTTAAGTCGCCATGCACAGAGGATTTCTCTTTAACTGCCAGTACTGGGATCTTCCCTACATTGGCTCATGGATAGTGAAGATGAGCTCAAGAAGCTCCCAACCACGCACTTCTACCATGAGCCACAGTTTGTCATCCCCTGAGTTGTGCCAGTAAAATTATTTGTGAGGCCAGACTTGTGCTGTAAACTGATCTTGGAAATTATTAAAAATAAGGGGTCAAAAAAGAGGTAATCTAAATTATTGCAAGGGATCCAGGATAAGAGCACTGTGCAGCCCTCTGCTATTGCACATTTGGGATGTGCCCAGATCCCAGGTGATTTCTCACTGACCTTCAAAGATCCGGTCAGTGGAACTAAGTCCATCCATGTTTTCTTTTTTTTTTTTTTTTTGTTATACATTAAACTCATTCACTCCTGTGATGAGTTTTGTGCTGTGGTGGAATTTCAGATACTGTTCTAGTAGTCATTGTCTTTTTAAAGTTCACAGTGCCTTCCTGAAGCCAAGGAGTTGCAATTTTTAGATTTGTTTTTAAGGTTAGTTCTGATTTTTTTAGGAGCTGTTCTGCTATGTTCAAGCTGTCTGTTTAAAAAAAAATAGATAAATCCTTTCTTTCTGTTTATAACAGACACATCCAGACATGTCATCAATGCGTCTGAAATGTACCCTGTGCCAGATACTTTAGAATATGGAAACAGAACATATAAACTAATACGTGGGAATTTTACATGGTCCTCAGCTTTAAAAACGTGCATGGCAAATGGCGCAGAGTTGGTCAGCATCACAGACCAGTATCACCAAGCTTTCCTCACGGTCATTGTGAATCGGCTGGGATACAACCACTGGATTGGGCTGTTCACTTCGGATGTATGTAGTGGATTCCCTGGCTACGAGTATAATGCTGCAAAGGAGTTTTTCCAGTAACAAGCTAATGAGCTGTGTCACTCATTTGAAGTAACAGGAAGTTTGCATCTGGAAATGAAACCCTGAGAAGCTTGAGCCCTAATCATTTTTTTGCCATGTAATGTATAAATCTAATTAGAGCCAGTTTGGTGCAATGACTACTGAAAGCTAAAAGCCATAGAAAACATTTAAAAACACACAAAAAATCTCTTGTAGTGTCAACATTGAAATTACGTTGTTTAATTTTTAGTTGCTCAATGGCCCAAATAATCACTTGCTGAAAACAGCAGGTTAGATGTAGCTTGTCATCTCCCAGAAGTAAGTTGGGAGGATCCTTGGATCTGCCTTTTGTAGATCCTTCTGGATCTACCCAGACTTTGGAAAAGTAAAAGACATTCTGTAATCCCTGGTGAGGATGCCACTAGAAGAAGATGAACTTGTATGGTGCTAAAGCATATCAGAAAGATAATATGAAATTTTTTTTGGCAGAACGGGCTTAACTTTGAATGGTCAGATGGGACCAGGTCTTTGTTTACCTTCTGGGAAGACGACGAGTCCCAGGCCTTTGGCAGCTGTGTTTACATTGATACTTCGGGGCACTGGAAGAGTGCTAACTGCGAACGACTTCTGCAAGGAGCTGTTTGCCATGTGCCACCTAGTAAGTCAGAGTTAAGTTTTATATTAAATCTTTGCAGCTGCAGATATATGTATTGACAGTAGAAGTATATGAAAGGAAATTAATTGGTTTGAGGTTAAGCAACGATGATAGTATTATTCAAAATTGAAATAGATTTCTGGCATTTCCTTGCTGTATCTCTTCTTTGTGAAACCATTTTCTCCCCATAAAATATTTGCCATCAGGTCTGAACTGTAGGAGAATGGAAAGAGAACTTTCGTAATAGAAAAGAACAGGAAAATTACTCTGTCTCTTCAGTGCTATATTATCTGTGAAAAATGATGATTGCTAATAACCTAACTTGAAGGGAAATAAATTTATTTTGCTGCAATTAACTGTGGGATGGGAGAAGGGAAGCATTTAGAGCAAAGTGACAAATTAGAGTCACATCTTCACTGATTGCATATAAAAGATTTTGCAACTTTTTTTTTTTTTTTTTTTTTGTAAAGATACAACTATTTTCCTGTGTCCTAAAATATGATGTGTTCCCTGCAATGATCTGTCAGTTACCTGGGCTTCATTTGAATCCAGAATTCAGGTCTGGAACTCCATTCAGTCCAGGACTGCAGTGTCTTTGGCAGCATCCAGTTCTCAAAATAGTTCCTCTTTGGTGGTACTGATCACCAGGGGTTCACCTACAGCTTATTAAAGCTTTTGGATCTGTTGAGAAGAAAGCTGTTTTGGAATCCTTCAAGAGAAAAATTATTCTCTAGCATGGTTTTTGTAGTGAAGCTGACTAATTTTCTCATTTGTTTGTCAAGTTATGTAATCATATATAGCCTAAGGTTTACTTAATTTTGAAAAGTTGTGTTTTGTAGCAAAGTAGGACGCATGTGAGACCATAAGTGACACAGCTGAATCTACAGCACTGCCAAAAAGTGATGCTGGGTATTGCAAAGTGAGCTTGTAGAGTTGCCCTGAGTCAGAGGGACTCTTTGCTGCAGCATGTTGTACACCAGAGAGGCTGGCTGCTGCTTACCGATGGGAGACTCGCCTCCGTGCCGTGGTATTTGGCAAGAAGTTACCTTTGCGGCTTAGTGGAGAGAAGCTCTGCAGCCCTTGGAAATCCCCAGCCCTCTGGGAGATGCTGGGCAGCCCGGAGTGCTCTGATGTGCCCGTAGTTTGCTCATAACTCCCTGTGCACTTCAGTATCGGTTAGATTGTCCTGATACTGCTGTTGCAATCCGGCAAAGTTTTTGATCGGAAATAAAACCAGCTTTACTGTTCTAATACAAATATATGCAACCACTAGATTTTCACTTTGAAAAATAGAGGCATAACGCAATAACATGCTTATTAGCATTACTCCAAAACAGCGTGTGGAATGTTATATTAATGTGTATGTTGTTGTGCCAATAAAGCTGTGCTGTTATTTCTATCACAGAAAAGAAACTCACTGCCTATAAAGGCTTATGTTCAGAAAAAACTGTTCCCTGGATCAAATTCAAAAACAGTTGCTACAGCTTTTCCACAGTTCTGCAGGGCACAAGTTTTGATACTGCGTATGAAGTTTGCAAAAATCAAGGTAAGTGATTATTTTGTAGCTACAAAATGTCATTGTGATATCTTAAAAAAATACATATTCTCTTAAATGCCTGAAATCATGGCATGTGTTTTCTCTAGTTCAAGGTAACGATAGTGGAGCTCATAAACCAACTATGAAATTGGAGGCAACATGCTTCAAAAAAGTGTTCCTTTCCATGTGAAAATACTGATTTCTGGAATAACACATAAAATGCATTTCTTTCCCTTCAAACTTGTTTTAAAATCATGTGAGAAGAGTTTTATATCAGCCTGAACATTTTCACATTAACTGCAAAATTAAGAACTTACAACACATAACCAGACTTTTTAAGCTTTTCAATTAAGGCTCATAATATTAAGTTTTTGAAATGCAATGTTACAGTTTAATGGCATGGATTGTTTGAAAATTTGTTCTGTGTTTAATCTGTAGGTTCAAATCTACTGACTATTCAAGATGAAGATGAAAATGCTTTCATTCTGGAAGAATTGCACAGTTTTGGTTATTCTGTGCAAATGGTTTGGTTGAACATCCTGCTTGTTACAGACAGTAAGTTTTTGGTGGAAAAGAACTGCATGTAAGAATCTGGTTTGGGTTTTGGTTTGGTTTTTGTTTGAATGCTGGTGTAACCATCTTCTAAAACACTGTTATCTTTTGAGATTTTTTTCGCAGCCTATTACCTGTTTATGATGTAGTAAAACCAGTCAAGCTTTCTGTAATCATTACTTACTAATATTCTGAATACTCAATATGTATGCATGTATGTGAATGCATTTATTTTCTTCTTAAAGAAGCGCTACAGGCTGTCTTCTGTGTCAACTCCATAGGATATTTTTAAATCCTTAAAAAACCGAAAGTAACGTAGTGCCAAACCGGCAAAATCCTGGCATTCTTTAATTCAATATTTATTTATGTGAGGGTAAGTCCAACTGAAACAGAGATAATTATCAAAACACTATGGTATTTTATAATGATTTATAACTTCTGCCCTTAGATGAGACAATCTCCTGGTTTGATGGCTCTCCCTTAAATTATTCTAACTGGGGCATCAGGGAGCCTGAATTTGATCATCTCAAAGGGAATTTCTGTATCAGCCTGAGGACCACAGATGGAGTCTGGCGATTATCTCCATGCAAAGAAAAAAAGGGATTTGTATGTAAAATGGATGCAGGTATGTTCTTCCATAAAAGAAGGCAATTGTGTCCTTTTAACCGTTGTTTTACGTGTTCCTTGTTGCTTGCTTACTTGCTCTTAGTTTTCATTTAAATAATTCTGTCCCTTGGCATTAGAAAAAAATACCTGTAAAAAACCCAACCAGCCCGGGTAACCTCCTGTCGAGGAACCTGGGCAGCTGTTGCGTTATTGCCAACTGCGGCAGACTTTCTGCTGTATGAGTGAGCCATGCGCAGAGAATCATAGAATCAGAAAACACCAGGTTGGAAGGGACCTCAAGGATCATCTGGTCCAAGGTTTCCTGGCAAAAGCACAGTCTAGACAAGATGGCCCAGCACCCTGTCCAGCTGAATCTTAAAAGCGTCCAATGCTGGGGAATCCACCACTTCCCGGGGGAGATTATTCCAATGGCTGATTGTTCTCATTGTGAAAAATTTTCCTCTTGTGTCCAGTTTGAATCTCCCCAGGAGTAACTTGTACCCATTACCCCTCAGCTTTTCCATGTGACTCCCTGTAAAAAGGGAGTCTCCATCTTCTTTGTAGCCATCCTTTAAATACTGGAACATGGTGACAAGGTCTCCCCTAAGCCTTCTTTTTTCAAGGCTGAACAAACCCAGTTCTCTCGGCCTTTCCTCATATGGCAGAGCATCAGGCTGACCTCCAGAGTCCCCGTAGGACGGGCAGGCGCAGCCCGGGAGGGCTGCACAGACACCACGTCAGAAGGAATGTGGGTCTGTGAGAGAGCTGAAGTGTTCAAGAGCCCGCCCAAAATGCCCGAGTCGCCGTTGGCCTCAATAGCTGGATTAATCTACTGCTGCACAGATCTGCTCAGGCATTTGCACTTTAAAAAGTAGATAAATGCTGCTGCTTATCCTTGCACAAATGTCAGTTAATATATTCCGCCAAATTTAAGGGATTTTAGATAACAGATTAGGTCATGTTTAACTTGGCCAGTTGGAATCCCATTGACATGAGTAAAGTTAAAGAACAGCCTGCTCTTGTATGGTTTTATGTAGATTGTCTTCTCAGTATCAATTTTACCATGAATATATATAGTAACTTTTGTTAGCTCTATGGGTAATTTTATGACTGGTCTGGATTCTGTTTCAGATATCGATGGAACAGAAAAATCTGGAAATCGTAAGTTTCTTCTGTACTTTCTTAGTTTTTTTTTATAATGAGTAATAACACATTTTTAGCTGGTATTTTGTGAGGTAACATTTTTCACTGTTAAACGTGTAATTTAAAATGTGTGACATATAGGTAATAATATGTTTTCCATAAAACATCTGTATGTTTATATTTAGAATCATCTATAATTATAACTGTATTTGCTTAATATATGATTTCTGTCCTTCCCTTTCAGCACCATACCGTGGGCTTGCAGCTCTGGCTGTTCTTGTGACATTGGTGATGCTGGCTGCCATTTCCCTTTTTCTGTGGTGCCTGTACAAACAGAATAACCGACTCTTCCGCAGGATGCTGTGGGTCAGAAACGCCTATTTGCCGCAGATCAACGCTGACGTTCCTGCTTTGGAAGAAAGCATCCTCATTTCTGATTTTGAGAGAAGCGACAATTAATTGAGCAGAAGTAGCAAGTAATCACGTCTTCTGTGTGAAACTCCACAATCTACAGCAGTTTTCTCCTCCTCGGGAGTCCCCGGGGGTACCCATATCCAGAGAAACCTTGGCAGCCATTGGTATGAACGCCAAAGGTAGGGGCTCCCTACCTTGGAGCACTTTTGCTTTGTGGCTGATGAGGATGAGGTGAGGATGCACGGCAGAACCATGGAGAAATTGGCTCCTTTGGGACAAGCCAGGAACTGAAAATACTCCCACACTATAAACCTCCAACCGCTCATGTGGAGCAGTCATGTCCGAGGCCCCAGAGCAGCGGGCATTTTCATGCAACTTTTTCCTTCAGGAACGCTTGGGCTTTTATGTTTTGTTTTTATACGTCGCAGAATCTGCTCATGAGCCAGCATTAAAATTTGGTCTTGAATTTAGGAACTCTGAAACATATTCCAAGGATTATGGTGTAGATTTTTTTTCTTAATAGCCATTCCTTCTGCAAAATGAACAGTTATTTTTCAGACAGTGGATTCTTGCCAGATGGCTTTCCAAGCTTGCAGAGAGATGAAGTCACTTTTGACTTCAGAGTGCCAGAGTTTTGGTAGTTTGATGGTTCCTATTATAAAATAAATTAGTCTAGAGATATAATGGCGTATGGACTTGGTCATCCTGAAGTTAATATATTCATTTGAGATGTGTCCAGTGCCCTGTAAAAGCTTTAACTATGTGATCTCTCACCTAGCTTAATTCAGAAATTGAATCCCATCAACCTCTTTTAAAGACATTTTTGGGCAATATCTGTTTGAAGAGAAAAAACTGTTATAAATCTTGCTGAAGTTATGGTAGTAAATCGCTTTACTGTTCACCTACAGTATTTCTGCAAGCAGTATTCATGTACACTCTTCTGAGACCCTGCTCTCAAAAGCTAAGGACGATACGTGGGGGAGCCACATTGCTGTTCCCAACGGGTGCTATAGTCCTATAACCCTATGTAGCAGACCCTCAGAAGGACACTTTTCACTTTCAGCATTTGTACTAAGGTGCTAACGAAGGAGATAAATTTTGCTGACCAGTTGTTCTGCAGGCTGAGGGTTGTGAAGGACCCAGCTCAGGTCTCTGCACTACCTCAGTTACAGCGGCCCAGGACAGCAACGCTTGCTCTCTGTGGGACTCTCTCCACCCTAACTAGTCCTCCAGCCACATCTCTGAAAATCCCGGAAGGTTTGGGGCGATTTTATTTTTTATTTTTATTGCAGCACAGAAAAACAAATGGTTAGTCATGATGAGTTACTTCAGAATGGATTTACTGTGCCTTCAGTCATCTCTAAAAGCTGCTACGAAGGGCTGTGTTTATTGTTGGGTTTGTTGGTTTGTTTGTTTTAAGATGACTCATTCTAACAATTTTGCAAGAGCCCTAAGATGCAGGTACATTCCTGAGAATTAAGCAAGCAGCTAAGGCCAACTGAAATGTTTTTACATAGTATTTGTGCACATGCAAAGGAATGTATGACTGCCTTTTAGTTAGATTTCACATGGCCAATTCTAGAAACATTGCAAAAATTGTCTGTTCATGTCATAATTATGTATAGGGTTATTTTTAAAAATTATTTAGTACATAGAATATTTCTGTGCTGGTTTACAGAACTGTTCAAAAATGTGTCAAAGAGGCTGCAGATGGTTTTGATCCCAATATCATCTTAAACTTACTGTTTTTGATAACTTCTGTGGGTGTAGCTATCACAAGTTCTTAATCTGAGACTTTTCCATCATATAAAATATAAATAGCTTTTCTGTGTACATTTTGTCTAATGGTTTGACCCCATACGTTAGTCTTCAGTAATGTTTTTAAAGTTTGTTCCTAGTCCTGTAGATTTATCTATAGGACTGTTTTTATGTGAAATCCACTATTAGAGTTTGTGGACTGCAGCTTTTGAGTACAATTGCCAGATCATCTGCTGTTTTATATGTATGAACTGTGATAGCTTCTTTACCACAAAAAAAAAAAAAAAAAAAAGAAAAAAGGTTGTGACCATCTCTCCCTTCCCCATGAGAATTTCACCTACTTAAACTACAGTTGGACAAACTTAAACCAACAAATCCCTTTCATCACATTCACTGACAAGTGCAATTGCTGCCTTCTTACAGCAAGCAGAGTGGCTTGCAGGGTGGTTTTTGTACGCCAGAGTAAGCTGCGTTGTCTCTGAGGCCGTGTATTTATCAGGCTGCAGTGCTGTTACCTAGCTATGCAGACTCTTGTCAGATTTTGATGTGGTTAATGAGGGTGTATATTTTTTTCACAAAACTTGACATAGGCATTTTATCAATTTTCCTTGAGGTATATTGTAATCACTTAAACATATTTGAAGGGCAGTGGTATAATAAATAACCCTAACCTCAAAATAGTGATCATTGATTAACATCGACTCTGATACAGATGATCTTGCACTAATGGAAAAATAGTTCAAGCAATGTTTTCTTCATACTTTGAAATGGTTTTGAGGGAACAGACCCTTAAATATTTATTTTTAAATCCTTCATCATTTAACTTTTATAATTGCAGATATTATTCACTCAAGAATGTAATCGTTGATTGCTTTCTAGTCCTTGTTCTGGATTTTCTTACCATAGCTTTTGTTTGTTTTCCCTTAATCAGAGGTCTCCTATACTGTTTCTGATCAGAGTATGTGGTGACTGTTTTTACTGCTGACCTTGATTATATTGGTACCCAGGTTCACTGTATTATTTCAACTGGAAAATTAAAGTGTGGATAATAATTTTCTGTGCTGGAATTTTTCTTGAATCTTTCCCCAGATTTAGTTAGCTGCCAGGCTTTAGTGTCTCATAACAGCGGTTCCTAGGCTTTGCACTGGGTCGTCCTGGTAGGAGAGGGACAGCTTGCACCCCACTCCTTCTGGCTACATGGCTGGACCCAGACCTGGGCACTGCAGATGGTCTCCACATGTGTGGTGGCTCCAGTGTTTCCCAGGGCACAGACAAGGATGCCCTGGGACCTGTATGCAGCTGCTGGGAGGAGGAAGGAGCCACAGCACCGTCAACGAGGATGATGGATGGGAGCATGGTGTTGATGCACAGGTATTCTCCCAGCCCATTGCCTGTTCCGTGTGGCCCTGGGAGCGCAGTAGCTTCCATGGTAGCACTGAAGTAATTCCCGTGTCCAAGAACTGGGTTCATCAGAGCCTGAGCAGGCAAACGAATGTTGCGTTTTCCTCTGCCATGCCAGCTTCTTTGAATGTGTTTACTGAAAGGGAAGTGTTAGATGTTTTCATACCACTCCTTTGCTTGCGGGATGGAAGGGTATCCCCACCAGAGATAGATACATTCAGTCCAACATATGACAAACCTTGTCTACCAGGTATTAGGGTTTAGAAAAAAATTGGTGTGCTTATTTTTGCAGACTGCATTCCAGGAGAAAATTTACCTCCTGGTCCCTTTAGCAGTCCTTGCAGCATGTCTCTGAGGGACAGAGATTGCCTGATGCAGCTGTCATATCCCAGCTGGACAGGAGTTTGCAATGGGAACACACGTATGCTGGAGAGATGTCCAGCATGCCCAGGCAGAGTGAAGGGTTGTGGCACAAGGCTGTAAGTGTGCAACATGACTGCTAAGCAAAACTCTTCCAGCTGTGCCTCTCCTGGGTGCAGTGCTGCCTGCCCTTGTGCAGGGACCTCCTCCCTTCTCTCCTTCTCCCTTCCCCTGCCTTTGCACAGGCACAGAGAGACAGACACACAGACACACACACAGACACTTTTGTGGCTGGGTCACGATGAGAGAGGAGCTGTGAGGCTGCTTGAAATCTGTGCAGTACAGTCTGGAGGGAGGTTAGGGAAAACGCAGTTTTTTGCACGCTCTGTGAGACTTGACCAGCTCTGGTTCCCAGGGCACCATTGCACAAATTCCTGTTTAATTTAGCCTCCTACTTTTTTCTTCCATCGTCTTGCCCCTCCCTTAGTGTAGTAACAGGCATCCTCAGTCTCTTGCAATAATAAATGCACTATAATGAAATCTGTGGCATACCCTTCCTCCAGGGCATTTATATATAAGCAGATTTTTTTTTTTGTTAAAAGCTAAACTGCACACATTCAGCAACTGAGCTCTAAATCCTCAGCTCAAAAATAAAGAGAGGGCTCTTCTTGAGCTATAATAATATTTCCTTTGGTAATCAGTGGAATGTTGATTTTAAAGCCCTGCAGGCTCGCACTGATCTCTTACAATCGGATGCAGCCCCCGTGTGTAAGTAACGAGGAGCCAAGTCACAGGGGCTAACGCTGCCCGGGGAGGGTAGGAATTGCGGTGGAGCTTGGAAACACAGTCAGTCTGGGTTCGGCCAGTAGATGGTGGTGGTACACACAGAGCTGACAACATGAGCCGTGCAAGAGAAAAAAATCAGAGGGATCTGCTCCGGATCCTTTTGAAGATTAATTAAATGAGCAGCAGAACTCCCAAGTCACAGGACTGCAAATATCAGCGTCAGCTCTTAGCCATGGCTGCAACATTACAAAGCTGTGTTATGATGGCTTTCCAAGTCTCAGTGTTCATTCTCAACAATTTTAATAGGATGTGTTGAAATGCTCGGAATGGGATAATGCAAGTCCTTACGTTGGTCTGTGGGTTTTTCTTTTGTTTGGTGAGTGATGGGAAAATCCACTTGGGTTCCTGAGTATTAAATAAATAAGTAAATATATCTTTGTGGTATGTTTTGGTTCTGATCCCTTTGATGGAAAGGTAATTCACTGAAAATGCTCTAGCCAGGTCTCTTTGCTGTAAATGGATCTGTTTTAATGTTTTATTTCTTCACTATATCAATGCAGCCATTTATTTACTAATTTATGTGGGAAAATGAAAATGAAGACATAGAAATAAAAATTATTGGACATTTTAGACATCTGTTGCATAAATAATCATTCCACAGCACTGTTGAAAGCAGATCTATTTTCTCCTTCTCTCAACTTATTCTGTAAGTTGCTCAGAGCATAAGAGTTGCTGATCCC